TATATATGCAATGTATATTGATCAAGTAAGACTTGGTCCACATGCACACAAAGGAGCTCTATTTCTGTCTGTTTCTTTTTTTAAATTCGTTGTTGGCATGGATTATAATTTAGAGACGTGTATGTAATACTTATATATACATCTCTCTGTTATTTGTTATTCAGATCAAACGATTTCGAAAAATGGAGTAGTGTGTAGTGCGTCCTGGTATTTCCCACATCGTTCGCATTTCCCAAATTGTTCTCCCACGATTGCCCTTCTAGTAGTAGTAATAGCAGTAGTAGTAGCAGTAGTAGTAGTAGCAGTAGTAATAGTAGTAGTAGCAGTAGTGTGTTAAATCTATCTCGTATCTTCTTCTCCATTGTTCGTTGCTTGACGTCTTCTAGATTCGTACACCTCTCTTCTTCCAAAAAAAGCACATGTAAAAGCTCAGCACGCTCCGTGTATTTCTCCTCTCAGTGTCTCTCTTTCATACGCTTGTTCAAGGATCTCAAACGCAACACACGTTGTATATATTTTAGTGGTTCACATGCCCGATATTTTTAACATCAGGGATCGTACACTCTTTTTCTATATTCGTGCCTCTGTGTTTTCTTTGAACCTTTTTTCCCGCTCATTTTTACTTTCGTTCGTCTCTTAATTCTTTTCTGGTTCAGCATCGTGCGGAAATGGCAATTATTTGGATAAAAAATTTTGGTTCTCGAATATATATACATATATATGTATATATATGCCATAGACTTACTTGATCAAAATGTACATCATTTTTTTTTGTGAACTCGGACTAGAGTTTCGGATATGCGTAAAACGAACTTAAAAATGACGAAAGAAAAATCGAATAAAAAACATTAAATGCTAAAAATGTCGCGCGTGTAAGTTTGGTTCGACTCGGAGGGATACACGAGAGAAAATGGCGGAACGAACACATTCGATCACCGTGTATCAAGACAAATTTTAGCGAACGATAATATAATCCAACGCGCTTTCTCGATGGAATATATAAAGATATACTCGCATATCGTTCTTGGAAAACCTCGAGTAGCAATCAAACTCACGAAAAAGCTAACGGACGTGTATATCAAGTAAGCACGAGGCAAGGGTACAGATATTGCTTACCTGCCAGCTGACGCGACTTGACAGATTTTCTACGGTGAGCCGGTACTCGGTGCGTGTTGGTGGTCCGTATCTAAAAAAGGAAAAATATGGTTACTATCGTTTGTTTGTTGTCTCAATAGAAGCAGGTTTGTCTTGGACCTGACTTTAACGTATTATAATAGCGAAATTCTAATTTGAATGGAGAAAACGCAAGAATATTTGAATTTTTTTTTATGATTATTCATAATTATTTGCAATTGATAGTAATTTATAAGTTTGATAAAATTATAAGATATATCGTTAGAGCGTAACATTGGATGTATGTACCTGGGCAATGATTGCTTGTAGCTAGATGCAGTCCTTGTGTTTCTGTTCACACTATCTCTGCAAAAAGGGATGTCATGTGAACAGAAATAACGGATCGTTGGTTAAACCTTCAGCAAATAACTACAGAATCTGCACTCATTGCTCAGGCACACAATCAATCACCTGTTCCAATCGAATCAAATCTACTCAAAATGCAGCAATAGCGTACCTGTCGTGCCGCATATCGTCTCGGCTGTAACAAACACAATACCACACATCTATTAGTCGCCAATTACATCGATCCACCTCTCTCAACTACCAGTAATAAACATAACGTCTGGGAGGGTTATTCACTAGGCATTTTATAATACGCTAGAAATAATGTTTAGAGATTTCTCGAGAAAAAACTAGCGATAGCTGTTTTTCGTTTTGTTCCTTCTTTCCCATGTTTTCCGGTCTTCGAGAGCTTCCGAGTTTAAATTCGACGTACTCTGGTAGAGCAGTCAAATCCAAGACAACCAATTCAAGAAGAACTAATTAGAATTCGCCGGTGTGCCTAGACCAACTTTCATCGTATGCGAATTGGCAAGCTTTTTTACAACATGCATTCGTTCCCTTTCATTCACTTTCTCTCTCTCTTTCTTTCGTTCTCTTTCTCTAATCTAGAGCTTATCATATCCAAGGTTACGTTCTTCCCTGTACGGACGATATGCAAAATCAATTCTCTACTTCATATATATATATACATATTCAAAAAGTGAAAATCGATTTGTTTTAAAATTACATTAAAAAATATTCTTATTTGAAAAAAGAATTTAACCAAGATTTTGCATATCTCAAGTTGACTGCCATCAGGGGAGGAGGGGATAATGATCGCTCTAATAAAATAAAAAAAAGGATAGCGTGTCTTACGCAGATCGCCTCGAGTCCCCATAACCACCACGGGAGTCACCATAGCGCCACTGGTCACTACCCCTAGGTGTCCCCCGGGCCCTCTCTACAGTAATTCTGTAACAAGACACATTGGATATGCTTACTTGTCTCTCCAGGAGCGTGAGCGTCCGTAGCCACGGTCGCCTCGCCTCCCTGAAACACCCCGTGCTATCTCCACCGCCACTCTGAAACACACCCAACAAAACCCCGCCTAAGTCCTCGACTAATTCTTACTCTAAAGCAGCTTCCTTCCTTCCATCCTTCTTTCCATTTTCTTATCCATTCCTCAGCCTCCTCTCGATATCCGTCACATCAAATATCATCCGCCTCGTTCATTATCTACAAAGTCCAGCCATTGAGGCGCTGTCCCCTTTCATCATCGCGTTTGTCTCTTCGTCCCCTCTCTTTCTAACTCTTTTCTAGTTGCTGTTCACTTTATAACGCGCAACTTAATTCATCATTCTATATACTCCAGGAGCTTTCTCATAATTAACTGGGATCATTGTTTCTTTTTTTCTGGTAACATTTTTGCTTCGTCTTTTTTTTTTTTTTTTTTTTTCGACATTTTTCTTAATAATCAGACAAAGGAAAATCGTTTTACGATCACCAGAGAATTATGAAAACGCATTTATCTAACTACGATATACACGTGTTCGAATTTTTCTCTCGTTTTCATTTTATTTTGTTCGGTCGAACGATTTTTTTTGTCAAAGAAGCAATATACATTACTAAAAATGTTGAGGCATTCGTGTTATAAAGTATATCAATATACAATATAATCTCTTTATGTAACATATATATCGGGGAATTGATGGAAGTAGTTCAAAATGGCGGCAAGTCGCATTGGCTATTTAAGTAAGATGCACTTTTATTCCAGAACAAACCCAATCAATAATTTGGAGGACAGACGCCGTTTCGTTAAAACTTAAAGGCAAAAAAAAAAAAAAAAAAAAAAAAAAAAAAATTAAAGAAAGAAAGAAAAGAAATATTTTATGTATATGTTGCATTTTTAATTATACAGAAGCAACAGCAGATTATAGCAGGTTATATTAATACAGGACAAAATCCGAAGATTCTCTAAATGATCTCGAAACATGTAAAGACTTAAACGTAAATAACGAAAAATAAAATGTTCAAAAATGCAAATGTTATTTACAGTTTTAGATTCATTCATAAATGAGTTATTCTAAAAAATTGTACTAATACTTTTAGTTATGTACAAACAAATAGCTATTAAATATTCAACTGGTTTTTTTTTTATAACCAATAGAATTCTATAATGCCTTTAATTTCAGATGCAAGTAACTGGGAAACGTCTAGAACGAAAGTACTTTACTCAATAATGTATTAAAGGGTATTAAAATAAATGAAAAAGGAAATTGTCAATGCTATTGCTTCTCGTGTATAATCCTACTCATTTTGTACAACATGAACATTATGCAATTATTGTAATTTCTTAAAAAAATGATGAGTTAATTAAATTAACGTTATTAATTAACAATGTTAATGCTGCACCTTCAATATATTTTTAAAACTCAATTTGTAGTCATAAATTGTAAAGGAATTATCAGTATTCTAAAAATTTTAATGCAACAAAATCAAGTATTCTGTATTGTAATTTTCAATAATCACGTTAGTTTTAAAGGTGTGCAATTGAAAACTACACATTCTATTAAACAAATATGAATAAATAAAAAAATATCTAAATTAATAGTGAAAAAAGAAACTAATCATGCAAGACATGCTACCTACACCATTCTTCGTACTTATAGTATATCATGTTTGTATATATAAAATGTGTAATTAAGAAATAGAATGCGTTACCTTTCTCCTAGAAGCTCCTTCCCATTGAGCTCGTAGACTGCATCGTCTGCATCCCTATAGTCATCGAATTCCTGTGAACAAAATATATTTATTACAAATCACAGTAACAGGGACATTTGTCAGTTCCAGTTTTTCTGCATGCAGCATTATGTTGTATCATTCATGTTATTCAATGTTCCTTATTAAGTTATGGAGCATACCTATGGTGTACAACAGATATACACTTGCAGTTAGTAGTGTAAATGTTCATGAATTCTTCAACAATACATACTAGCAAAATAGAATAGCAATCTATATAAGGAGAAAATTTGATTAATAATTTAAATAATTTCAATTTAGCTTCAGATTTTAAGGACCTGTTTAATTTCGTAATTTTATTGTTTTTGATTTCCTAATCAGTATTTTACCTCAAAAGTAATAATCAATTAGGTATTGGATATAAGTAACACGATTTCCTTTTGATCATACATAACTTACAAACATTTTGTAGATTAATCGATGAAAACCAGCACACAGTTCCATTAAGCAGCCACAGTACCAATGTGTTCAGGGCTCAAGGTAGGTCAGATCAACTCATGGTTCAAGTTATTTTTGAAGTAAAACACTTTACACTCTACACATTTTGGTCAGCAATGAAATCATAAAATAATTGGCAATTTTTCTGATAAGCTAGCAAAAATGTTAAAGTGATGAATGCAAAAATAATTGTCACACACAATGTAATGGTAAATAACACAAGACCAAACTGAGTAGAGTAAAGTGTTAGGTATGTGTATGGAATTTGATTCAAGTACTTACAACAAAGCCGTAACCATTCTTGATGAGGACATCACGGAAACGACCGTAGCCTCTGAAAAATCTCTCAAGCAATTGAACCACATTAGACTTACCACAAAGGCAAATCCATTCTTCATAGCGACCTCCTTGATTCTACCATATTTCCGGAAGAACTTCTCAAGGTCGCGCTCTCTCACCCGGTATGTTAATCCACCAACGAATACTCGGGTGCTCATTCTTAAAGGAAAATATAAAAACACCATACATAACAGGCTACTTTAAGAACCTGCCATTTAGTCACATGACAACATAAGTACTGTTATGTTAATTTCCAATATTCTGGCTGAGAATGGCAAATGCAACTCATAATAAATAGAACTGACATTGGTGACATTATTTCATATATTTCTGGACCAACTTGGAAATTTTATATTAATGAAATTTTTACAAATAAAAACTATCTAAGAATTGTAAACTGACTGCAATAAGTCACAAGTGCAATATAGAGGTGCTATAGTAATACACAAAATTGCCAAATAATTTTTTAGAAGTAAGATTTCATACAGTTGATAAATATTATTCTTCAACATACATTCTCCCATGACAATCACACAAATCATCAGTCGCAAAAATTAAAATAGTTCAGTAAAAAAACTAGCATAACTTAGTAGCATGTTAAGTTAATACATCATCTATATGTAGAATTTAAATTGTATTTTAACATTTATGGTAGTATAAACTGTGCATAAATATAATTTACATAAAATTACATGCTGCATATTGTAAAAAATGTGTATAGAACTTGAAGCTATAAACTACCCACTGCATATTAAAAAAATATTGGAACAATACTGAATGTTAAGCAACAAGATAAAGTTAGAACAATTTACTGAACATTGTTCATTTTTTCAAGCTAAAAGTAAAACTACTTAATGTTTAGTGCAACACAATTGTATATCTATGTTAAGCACATCTCATGCACTTGTGGATAACAAAAAACATTCTTTGTCTCTATATAATTGAACAAAAAATGTTTGAACAATTTTCACGTTGATGAAGTATGAATCACTATTAAACACTAAGATGTTTATCTTCATGCTTACTCAGCCAAAAAGTGTTTACACAAATATTAAGTGAGTATGAACATTAGCCGTGTTCGGTATCTACATTGTGCTATTTCACATGATTCAAAGTGGAAAATTTCGTGAAACATACCGAACCCGCCTAATGTCACGGTTGAAGAATTAAAAGTGGCGAGTACGTAAACCAATTTGCAATAAGTAAAACTGAATTTTCAGTATATTGTATAAACATTTACCATTAGAGCATTGACCTTTAGATATTCATAAGATTTTAATATTGAATTGTTTATGATTTAAAAAATATTCAGATACTTAGAACTTAATAAATTTGTTTCAACCACATTTAATCGAGATTTTAACTCAAGTTTAAGTTAAACTGTGTACCGTTATGTACCACCTCTCGGTTCATTTTCCCTCCCTCACATACCGTAACTATTTTAAAGATTAAAAAATAGAAATACCTTATTTTTCAATAGAATTTTAACTAGTTGCTTAAAATTGAATATTTCTATTCAATAAATGGAACTTAATCCAATAAAAAGCAATAAGTATCAAACTCCAGCGACAAACCGTGTTTTTATTAGACACTCGTTTCATAAAATGGCGGTCGTGCGATTGCTTATCGTCCTCTTTTTCTGCTACGTAATTTACCGATAATGTACAGATAAAAACGTGAAGACTGCATTTTACAAAAACATGTAACGCCCTTATAAAATAATTATATTTATTTCCATTAGTAGCGGAAAACTCTCGAAAGTTATCTGCACGATGTTGAAATTAACGATAACGTTAAGATGAAGTAGTTACGAATTATTTACCGCATGAGATAATGTTTGAGATAAGCGATTAATTGCTCCGTACACTTATCTATCATGAATACTTATACAAAAATCTTGTGGGCGAGCACCCATATGACGTAGCATTCTGAAAGCTACTGCGCCACGTCATTAACGCATAATACGCAAATTTTTATAATAAACAATCATTTAAATTGTAATATCGAAAATTGAATTGAACATTTTATTATCAATGAATTATCGTTAAACCGTCATGATGCGACATGTCGGGGGTACTTAACGTGAACCGCTGCTGCTACATCCGTAAAACGAAGTATTTGCAAACAATTCACTTTTTTAATGCATACGTAATATCGCAGGAAAAAAAACGTGTTTACAAACTTACCTGAATACACGTAAAATAACGTTGCGTTCTTCACTAAAATCTTATGCTTTCACGACACGTTACCACTGAAATTACTAGAAGAAGTAATGATCGGCGTCTGGAGTAAGATGGCTCGTTGCAATAACGGAAACAAAACGGGGTTCACACAGCAGAAAACAAAGTTGCTAGTTGCCTGAATCTTGAAGCCAGACGCATAGCACTAAAAATTTTAGATAATTTAAAACAAATTACAACAATTATGCGTAATAAAATAAAATTATCTTACAGCAGAAATATATTACACTTATTTTTAATACATAATATTAAATAATATTTCTTAATTTATTTCGATACAATCTGTTATCCCCTCTCTACCAAAGATCATATTTATGAATAAGTTACGTATTTACTACGTTTAAAGCAATTATGTTTATAATTATTCATTGTCTTGCTTTTTTGTTATTATAGCAGTATTGCTATAATTGTTAATAACTTTTATTATACTGGCGGGCAATCGTAAATGTGTACAGACAGGATTTGGGTTCGACATAATGTCTGGAGTGATATAGAGAGGGAGTTTTGAACAACCGTATTATAAGATAATGCTGTTTGAATAATATTATTTTTCAAATGAGTTTTATAACGTAAAATGGAATGTTTTAGAAAAATATTTATTTATTTTGGCATAATTTATGTATCCTAAAATAAAATATCAGTAAAACTTTAAAAATTTTTTATCATGAAATTGAATTGCGACTGTTTAATTAGTGTTGCAATTTCTTTGCAAATCAAAAATAGGTTGCAATAGAAGAAGTTTCAAAAAGTAGATTACAGTACAAGGCTAAAATAATGTGTAATCTATGCAATCATCTGTATATTTAAATCGTAATATATATTATATAACATTGTAACGAAGAATAAAATTAGTTTGTCGGCAATAAACGTTGGTAAAGCCGTGGACCTCCATCGACTAAGCTGGCGCCACCTATTGAAAACAAAAATGGTGGCCAACAATATGCCCTATCCCTGCCCTGGTTTTATGGCACGCCAAATGTCTGCGTTCTCTAGGCTTCTTTCTACTATGTATTTCCCTCCGACTGATATACCCAATTTCGATGTGAACAAAGGGAATCATTTCCTCGCGGTCGACCCTATCTTACGTGCTAAATAAGTGGGGCTACTTCTAACCAAACCGAAGGTGATCCAAAACTAACGAATATTTCGCGAAATTATAACCGCACCAGCTCGATTCGTCGTGTCATTCACCTTATATAATGTAATTGGTTACACACAATTCCATACGGCGATTACACGCCTCTAACATGTATTGCCCGTTACAGGAAACACAAAATAAACAATCTAGCATTGTGGCAATGCAGTAAAGAGCAAAATCCTATATGCTTTACTAATACAAAGCGCAAGATAGATGTTTTATTTTGCTATACACTACGTACAAATTACGTAAAAAATTTCCTGTCGTCCATGTAATATGTATCACCAAAATCATTTAATGAACTTATTGAAATGTCAAATAATCACAGTCATATTAGGTTCGTACTATTGCAGATAAAGTATTTGTTTCCTTGACAACGGCTCTTCTGATACTGCTATTTTAAATAAATTTCATTTAGTGATTCCATTAAATAAAGCTTGCACTTTTAAATAGTTCTTCTTTTGTACTAAAGTTATTTTGCATAGTTTATTGCAAGAGATGTGATACAAGTTGATTTTGACATTAATAAAGATCTCAAGTATGTGTTATTGATAGTATGCTTTCGTTATTGTAGGTTGTTGAATTTTATATAAACTGGTAATGACAGATAGGGTACACACAATGAGGTTGGAAGCAGAAATGGCTGCTCCTTTGCATTTGCAAAGATTGGAGCGCAGCCTTAATATACAGCCCTTTTTACGGCAAATTAATGAACTGTTCCATGATCCAGCTAGGTAGCCTTTTTATCTTTAATGAAGTAAGAATTGTACTCTGTGTGAACCATGATATTTACTTCATTAATTGTTACAGTGAGGATGACAAGTCTGTGTCATCAGAATCTTCTGAAGGATCGGACAATTATCTTGATAACGTTCTGATTCGAAAAGAAGGTGTGCAAATTGTTTTAATATTTCACAAATAATATTTTATCTTGTACAATTATTACATGATTATTAATTTTATAGAGGAAAGGATTAATAAGCTGAGGCTTTATAACATGTCAAGTGTTGGAGAAGAACGCCGTTGGTTGCAGGATATATTATTAAGTGATTCATCAGATAGTTCAGCTTCAGGATCTGATACAGATAGTCCCATTACAGAGGAAGATTTTCAGGAAATGTTGAAGTTTCACATACTTAGAAAAAAATACCAAGCACGTTTTTATCAAAAACCAGAGGTAAGACTAATACTAAAATTATAATCGATGAAATATACAGAATCAATACTAATCTAAAATATTTTTCTTCAGAATATTCAGTATCAATATTACAGTGCTGGTTTATTATCAAGCTATGATAGATTTTTAGAACATCAAAAATTAATAGTTGGAAATAAAAAGAAGAAAGAGAAGAAACCAGAAAAGAAAGTGATGAAGATAAAAAAGGAGAAAGTACCGCGCCATAGACCTTCCGAAGATTATCCCGTACGTAAAAAAAGTTAATAAAACATGTTTCAAGAATAAAATAATACAATCATATGCATTCTTTAGGAAGGAGAATATCCAGATGATGAATGGGATCGTACAATTCCTAGAGAAGAAGAATTAGATGAAGCAGAATTGGAAGCAATAATGCGACATCAACCGCGTCAACGTGGAAGAAAGAAGCATAACAACAAAAGTCCAGAAGTGATGGCAATGAGAAGGAGAAAGATTTGGGTAATGATGTCCAAGAAAGAACTGGGAAAAGTACAAAGAGCAAAAACCAATAATCATAAAGAAATGTTAATTAGTTGTAAAAAAGTAGCACAACATTGCATGAAATATTGGAGACAAAAAGCTATGCAAGTGAGTGTTACATGTATAATCATTTATATTTGTTTAAAGATCATTAGAACCACATATTCTTTTCCATTACAGTCACAAAAGAACATGAAAGAGACTATATGGAGAGCTAAACGTCTTACAAGAGAAATGCAATCTTACTGGAAACGTTACGATCGAGTCGAACGTGAGACTAGAAGAAGATTAGAGAAAGAAGCTGAAGAGCAGCGGAAAATGGATGTGGAACTTATTGAGGTGATTGTTTTTGCAATTTTTCTTATTTATTATGTAATACATATAATATTGTTTAAAATTTCACTTAATTTGTTTTAATATTTAGGCGAAACGACAGCAGAGAAAACTGAACTTTCTTATTACACAAACTGAACTTTACGCTCATTTCATGTCTCGAAAATTAGGAAAAGCCTCTCCCGAGGAACAGTTGAGAATTTTAAATCAATTAGACGAAGAAAAAAATCCGAGACTAGTTGGAATTGATGATTATGATAGGTATAATAAATTCGGTAACAGATCGTGTACAGGTAAAATAAAAATATTATGTTTTGACATTATTTTTTTACGTCCAGTGAAATAATGAAACAGAAAGCAAAAAGGAATGCCACCGAGGCATTCGATAATGAAAAAGCTCGAGCAAAACAGTTCGATACAGCGGCTGCATCTCAAGAATTGCGGCTTAGCGATACACCTGAAAATTTAGAACACCCACAACCTTCAATTTTTAAAGGCAACCTTAAAGGTTATCAACTAAAAGGAATGAATTGGTTAGCTAATTTATATGACCAGGTTGGTCTATCTGTTAAGTCATTATAATGTATAATCTAATAAAATTATAAAGGAATTAATATTTATATAAATATTCTTAACATTCTGTTTAGGGTATTAGTGGAATATTGGCAGATGAAATGGGTTTGGGAAAAACTGTACAGTCCATAGCTTTTTTGTGTCATGTTGCCGAAAGATATTGTAAGTTACTTAACGTTTCCGTACTTTAAAATTATCTAAAATACTACGATGTATTTAATCTTTTGCAGCTGTATGGGGACCATTTTTAATTATATCACCAGCATCAACGTTACACAACTGGCAGCAAGAAATGGCACGATTCGTTCCGATGTTTAAAGTAGTTCCGTATTGGGGTAATCCACAAGAACGGAAAATATTGAGACAGTTTTGGGACACTAAAGATTTACATACGAAAGAGGCTTCATTCCATGTGGTGATAACGAGTTATCAATTAGTCATAACCGATTACAAATACTTCAACAGAATAAAATGGCAATACATGATCCTGGATGAAGCACAGGCTATAAAAAGCACTAGCAGGTTGGTGCTTCTTGCTTATTTATATTTTAATTGCACGATGCTTTAATATCTAAACTTTATAGTATGAGGTGGAAGTTATTGCTTGGATTCAGCTGTCGCAATAGATTGTTACTTAGCGGTACACCTATACAAAACAGTATGGCGGAATTATGGGCGTTGTTACATTTTATAATGCCTACTTTATTTGATTCCCATGATGAATTTAACGAATGGTTCTCCAAAGACATCGAGAGTCACGCTGAAAATAAAACGGGGATTGACGAGAGTAATATATTTTTGTCATAAACTAGTTGTGTAACGATATCTGTTTATTAATTGTTTAATTGAAAAAATTGTTTTTAGAACATTTGTCAAGATTACACATGATCTTGAAGCCCTTCATGTTACGCAGAATAAAAAAAGATGTAGAGAACGAATTGTCAGATAAGATCGAAGTTATGGTGTACTGTCCACTTACTACTCGTCAAAAGTTACTTTATTCAGCATTAAAGAAAAAAATTAGAATAGAAGATTTACTACATTACACAGTCGGCGGTGGTGACACCGCGACCAACGACAAAAATTTCACATCAAACCTAATGAATCTAGTCATGCAATTCCGAAAGGTAAAAATCCATTAATCTAAAACTTTAACAAATCTTTATCAAACAACATTACTCAAGTACTACATTAATATTTATTTTAGGTTTGCAATCATCCAGAACTTTTTGAGCGTAGAGATGCTAGGTCTCCACTTTTCATGCATACTGAATTTTACGAAATGCCTGCATTATTGTATACAGAAGGACTCATGCACCTTTCGTTGCCATCCAAAGATCATC